ATCAATATCAACTGCAAAGAAAAACGAAAAAACCGAGTTTTATGTTTGAAGAAAAAAAAGGGCGATGACTGATTGGCCATTGCCATCATCATATTTCTAAATCTTTTTTGGTTTGTTTTTTAATTAGTTACTGAATGTAATAACAAAAGAATCTTTTTTTTTCCTTGATCTTAAACAATAATGAAACCATACTTTGTTTCAACAATACAGCAATGGTTAATGGTTATCATAATTAACTCGAAATGAAATGAGCTCGCCATAACTGATTTCCATTCAGTTTTTTTTTTTTTTTTTTTGGTTAACCGCGATAATTCCCACTACTCATTTGGTCAGTCATATTGTTCGCTAATGTAGTCGAATTCGATTGATCGGGTGGTCAATATTATGCAATGTTATGGAGTCATGATGTTCAATTATTTTGCTAAATGCTTTGCTTTGTGTGATCAACTCATTTAATGAGTGGCTTCACAATATGTGATCAGAATTGTTCATTTTTTATTTTTTGGCGATAGGCATCGTGTTTGTTTGTTTGTTTGTTTGTTAAATAGATTTCGGAGTATGTCGATGTGAAAGTAAACAGGGCAAACGAATGAATACCGATGGCAGCAATAATATCTGGTTTTGTTTGGAGCTCTATAGCATCGAAAACTTAAACAAATAATCGAAAAAACATAACATAACTAACCATAATAAACAAAGAAATGGCATGCTGTTTATATGTTTTTTATCTTGAAATAAACCCATTGTCATTTGGAGGGTTGTTTAGTTGGGGGAAAAAAAGAAATTTTCATTGTCTCATTTTTGTTAGGGTTAAAGTTCAAACCTTTATCGATTCATTCAACTGATCTATTTTGTTGATTTGTCTGATTAGATCTTGGATACTCTAAAATCGATCTTTGATTCGATTCTTTTCATCATCCGCCAATATTCAATCAATGCAAATGTTATCGACGTCGTTGTTAATGGCTACGATCATTGTCATAATTCATCGAATGAATCGATTGCCTTGAATAATAAGTCTATCTAAAAACACTACAATCAAACACTAAACAAAATGGTAATTTGATTCATAATGTAGAATCGGATGTTTAGAAGTTTTTCTTTTCTTTTCTGTTTGCCTCATATAATGTCATAATTATGTCTTGGTTTTGGTTTTTGGCAAATTATTCCGACACTCGATTTTCTCAATTTCTGTTGTTGTTGTTGTTGTTGATTATAACAGTTCATACAGGCAACAACAACCAACCACACAACAATCATGTCAGGATATTGATTTATTATAACCTCCCCCCCTTAAAATAACATTGCATCCATTTTTGCCCATTATGTTATTGTGCATTTTGGTTGTGATGCACAATGTGGTTTCTTTCTCTCTTTTTCTATCTCTTTAAAAACTTGTCAGACATAATTTACGACAATCATAATCAAAACACACACACACACAAGAAAAGATTTGAATGGCAATATGGTCTGTATATTGAAGGGGAAATGGGGGAGAATTTTTCTCGGTTTGCATTGTTGATTTCATTCAACTCCTTGTCGATTCATCTTTTGGTGGTTTTTTTTTTGGCTAGCTGAATGATTAATAAAAACAACATGTTGAGGCTATCGGTCATTAGAAAATTATCTGATGAATTCGATTTTTGATTGATCGATTATGATCGTTGAAAAATATTTATTGTGCGTGATTAAAGTAAACTATTAAATCAATATTCACGGTAGCCTACCTTATTATTATAACTGCTGAAAAGGATTCAAAGTTAGTATAGATTGACTATTTAATCAAGCAACTACATGTATTTATATCTGAAAGCCTGATCAGATTGGTCAAGCGATTTAGATCTTGTTTTTGTGATTTAATGATGTCCAAATTTACTTTTTTGCTGCTTGATTGTGTATACATTGCTTGATGACCGAACGATAGTGACCTCCTTGTCGATTGTTTGATTAACTTAGCCTTAGCTTCACACAATAATCAAGTTATTCAGTCTATGGTGGAATCTTGGCAATTTTATTTTGCGTAGATGTACGAAAAATAAATGATTTATGATTAGCTTGACCGCTTTTTTTTATCCATCATCAAATCATCACCATCTGATGTTGTTGTTGATAATGTTGTTGATGATGACCTTATACGAACATCGATCAACAAATTAAAATGATTCCGAACAGGAGTCGAATACGAAATGATGATGATTTTCTTCGGTTACTACATTTCAAGCTTTCATCGCCATTTGAATTTTTTTACTTTAACTCATTCTACTGTAACAATATGCTATATATTGCGACAACAACCAACAGTCAACATCCGTTACATTTATCATCAATCTGTCATAATATTTGATTAAACTATCGATATAATCGATAGTTTAATTTTTTGCATCATTATTATTATTAATATTTTGAATCTAATCATCATCATTGAGCCACTCGAAAATCAAATTTGCCAAAAAAAAAAAATGATTTGCCATAATTTTCTCTCTTTCACACGTTAACACTAACGCAGCATGAGTGTGTCGATTTAATCAATTTTAATCAACTTTCTTTCTCTATCGCTTTCTTTCTTTTTCTTTGTCGCAATCGATGACTATTAGCTTAATTATTCTATATTGGCTGCATTGATATACACCGGAATTGAATTATGATGATGATGATATTATTTTGAAAGAAAAAAAATAGTGAATGAAAATGAAAATAAATTAGGATTGATGTTACCAGCCATTCAGTCAGCCAACCAGACCAAAAATTGTTCGTCCGAAATGTTTTCATCATCATGTCTGTATGTTTTTTTGGCCTAAAAATTATTTTCGAGCTAAAATAAACCCAATAAAGATTTTCAAAGATTTTCCAATTTGGCCATTCTATCCAAATGATTTTTATTTCTTTTTCTGCTTTCTTCTTCTACATTCAAAGCTTTTTTCGTTTGTAGATAATAAATTTAAATTATTTTTATCGTCCATTGGCAGCTGATCTCAAACATCATTGCCATTGGTTTTTTTTCTTGATTTTGGTTTGGTTTATATGTCTTGTTAAGAAACAGAAAAAAAAGTTTTTTACTTTTGATATTGGCTTGGACCTTCTTAGATTTTTTCGTGTTTGCTTCATTCAATTCCAATTTGTAAGACAAAGTTCTGTAAGAATCTTTATTCTCTTCCGACAAACACACACTTCATGATTTAGTATTTTGGAACAATGTTTTTGTTGTTGTTAAACTCTATTTGTTTTTCTATGGTTTCAATCGGCATTTGTGTCCGGTTATGGCAGTGTTATGGTGATGTCCATTGTGTGTGAGAATAATTCCATACGATAGAATCGATAGTAATTAATGGGCCACATCATTTGGCCACTGTCCAAATAATAATACACACACACAGATACACATCCGCAAATAACAACAATTGCTTTGTTTTCATCATTTTCTTCATTTGTTAATAATCACTAATAGCATTGATGCTACCTCTTGGTTAACTTGAAAAACTGTCTCAAATGGAACAAAAAAAAAATTCCTTGTCCTTTCTTAAATTGTGTCTGTTGGTGTGTATGTGGATGGATGTTCAATTATATATCGAGTAGATGATCATCATTGCTTGTTAGTGACCATTTTTTTTCTCTCTCTCTCTCTGTTTGTTTCTGCTGATCTTGTTGTTATTGTTGTATTTGGAGGGGGAAAAATAACCAGAGAATATAAAGAGAATATACCTTTTGTGTGTGTGTGTGGATCTATTTATATTGTGTTGACGACAACAAGAATCTCAAAAATATAAAAACGTATAGAAAGTATAGTGTTAATGTCTAAACAACAACAACAACATCTAAGCATCTGTATGTTTGATAATGAATGTATTTGATGATGATGAAATGAACGAATGAACAACAAAAACGAAAACGAAAAAACTTTTGCACAATAAGCAGAAAAAAAATCCAACTTTCTTTCTTTTTACATGCGGTTCCGTTTGGGTTGATTCGACATACACACACACAAACACACTATATTTATATCGATCATCATCAAAATTTGATTGTACAATTTGGCATTCCACATTTTTATTTTTCATTGAGTTTGATCATCATCATCATTTTCTCGTGTAACACAGAAAATAATTGAAACTAATCGATTTTTCAAAGGTTCACTTGGTCCTTGATTTTATTGATATATTTTCTTTGTGTGTATTGGAATTTATTTTCAAACAAACAAACAAGAAAAATTAATTGAATCGAAACAATCAAACAGAAAATTTTTCTTCTTCTTTTCCCTCTACCATCACCATTATTATTGTTCAACACTTTTTTTGATCATCATCTTAAATATCGAAGAGAAAAACTCTATTGTTATTGTCATTGAATTGACAATTGACAATTCGACCATAGAGAGACAAAATGGCTCAATCATAATCAAACAAACTAAATAATAATCATATCGTACCCAAACAATCTAATATTTTTCTTTGGCTGTAAATTCAATTGATTAAACATCATCATCATATAAATTGAATCCATTCCTTTGATGATGATGAATACTGGTTAGTTGATCAATGATGATGATCAAAACTTTTTTTCATGTTACATATTTTTTGGATTTTTGATTTCATTATGATTCATTTTCTTGTTGAGAGATAGATTGATTGAGAGAAATATTTCATAATAAAAAAGCAAGAATGAATGGAATGTGTGTGTATATTACAAACATTCTTTGATCTTGTCTTCCTCATCATCATCATCATGATAGTTGTTCTTGTTGTCGATGTTATCAATTCATTCATTCATTTAATCAAATCTAATCTATTTTTTTTCTATGTAATATATCCAGTTATTGTCGGCTAATTAGATTCAATTTATGTTTGGTTTTTCGGGTTCATCATTCCAAATTCCTATCGATTTATCGTTGTTTTTCATCATTTTTCAAAATAAATTTTTTTTGATTCATGAAAATCTCTATATGTATGCGTGTCTATGTATGTATAATGTAAACATCCTTTTAATTTGTTCATTTTTCAAAAAGAAATAAGATAATATTTTGGCAATAACCCTGGAATAACTGGATGATGATTATGTGTGTGATGTGTTTGTGTGTGTATAATGTGGTGGATACTATCAATTCACCAACATTATCCTCACAGTAGCAACAACAACCCCTACAAGATTTTTTTTCAACAGTATTTTGCTGGTTTGGGTAGTAAGTTTCTAATTTTAGTTTAGTTTTAGTTTTAGTTTTTCAATAGAAACTTTTATTTCATTTTTTGTTTATCGTTTTGTTGTTGAATTGAATGTGATGTGATAATAAATGTGCAAAAATGAAGAAAAGAAAAGAAAAATCATGTTCTTTGATGACAAATCAGTTGATGATGATGGCCAACATTATTTTTTTTTCTTGCACCTAATTCTATAACGATGTTATTGCTGTTAAAATAATTGACTGAAAATATTAAGTGTGTGAAAATCATATCACAAATCCAAAAGAATTTATTTCATTATATTGAACTGAAAAAACTATTTATCCATCAAGTTCCTATTGAATTATCATCATCATCATCATCGTCAAAATTCATTTGTCACGTTTCAGATTTTTTTTGATGATATCAATATCCCCAATGTGACCATTTTGATTTTGTGTTTATTCTTTGAATTATCATCATCATCAAAGACATTAGATTTAACGATCTGAACGAAAATTAATTTATTTTGTTGTCTTTTTTGCTCTCATTTTCTCCATTTCTCTCACTAAAACTCCAAATAATAATAATTGATTAATCTGACATTGATAAATTGATTGTTGTTTTGGTTGTTGTTATTACAATTTCTTTTCCGTTTCAAATAGCTTACATAGGCATTATGTGTGTTAATAGGGATAAATTATGCAAACACAAAATTCAATTGTAAATGATTTTTTTCCAAACTAATCCAACTTGAAATATGTGTGTTTTGGTTGCTGGGGTAAGCTTTGCAAACGGAATAAAAATTCGTTTGTTTTGTTTTGTTTTTTGTTTATTTGGCACTTCATTTCAAATAATTTAATTCAATCAATTTTTACCTGTCTCTGAAGTGTGTGTGTTTGTTTGTGTATTTATTCAGCCAAATTCAATTGAAGAGTTCTGTTTTAGATTTAGGTTTTGAATGACCATGTTTTTTTTTCGAAATTTGAAAAACCAATTTATTTGAACCAATTCAAAATGATTGGCCAAATTTAACAGGCAAACAAAACAAAACTGAAACGAAACGAAAAAAATAACAAGAACAAAGGCCACACACAACGAGTGAATACACTTATAAGTACACAACTAATACAATAGCTAATGGAGCGAAAATTTGATCATAACATAAATAACCTCATCATCTGTCGAAAAATCTCTTTCTCTCTATATATATTTTGATCGAGATTGTATATTCGATGATGATGATGATGATGATGACTACTCAATTCATATAAACATCAAACATTCTTATATCAAATATAACGTAAAAGAGAGAGAGAATAAAGACAGTAGCAGCAATGAACATCATCTTAATAATGTTTTGAAGCATTTTTTTTCTCTATTTCAAACGGAAATTCCAATGTCCATTTTGATATGAAAGAGATTCTTCATTTTCTTACGGGCAAGATTCACAATTCATTTTTTCTGTTGTTGTTCAATGAACAAATCGTATGGATTCTTTAGTTTTGTTTTCAGTTCAGTTTTGATCTTGAGGCTATATTCTCTCTCTCTCTCTCTTTCCTATCAATGATGATGTGATTTTCATCGACTTATCGTCAAAAAAAAATTCTATAGCTTTTCGATATATATGTTTGACTGTTAATGGGCAATTCATTCATTTTTCGTTTGTTTGCTATGGCCAAATTTGTACACATTTTTGTTTATATCTATGATGATAGGTTCCATCATTAGGAACGGTGAACAGAAAAAAAATACTGCTTCTGGTGATGAATTTTCATCAAATACAAACATACAATATTCGACTATTGACTATCATTTGTGAGTATAGAGAGTCATTCTGTAAAAACTATGGAATTTTTATTTTCATTTCCATTATCTCTTGGTGCAAATAGAAAAGAAAAAAACCAAAGCTGATGATAACTTCATTTCATTTCATTTTTCTCCTTCTTCTTCTTCTCTGTTATCGGTTATTTTATTATTATATTTAGCTTGTTCAAAAATCTCAATTTTATTGTCAATATGTGTGTATGTTGTGTGCAAATTCAATGTGTTTTATTTACCATTATAACCCGGCATATGAATGAAATAAGCAAATAATAATAAAATAAACCCTTAAGGCTATCATTTTGATGTGTTCATCATCAACAAAATATATTCGGTGCATATGTTTTGTTTGAACGAATCATAATATTCATGTTATGAGAACAAAATACCGAACCGAAATTGCAAAAGAAAATCTATGCATTTTGTCTATCAGATAGTATGTTTAATTAGCAAAAAAGAATGACCAGAATCTCATTGCTTCATTTTCAATTGTAAAACAGAAAAAATAACAACAATGTTTATCGATTCCGGTCTATATTTTGTAAATACACAAATTGATTAGGGTTGTAAATGTGTCGAAACTAATCGATTAGACAAAAAAAGAAAAACAAAATTGAAAAAGAAAAAGTTTTTTGTTTTCTGTTTTCTTTGCTGATTTTAATTTGATTTTCCATTGTAAAACAAAACAAAACAAAACAGAAAAAAATGTTTTTCCTTTCCAATCACAATCTTTCTTTCATTCTATCCAAACGTTATTCTTTATGTTTGCAATAAGCTGTCATGGCTGATTTGTTTGTTTGTTTTTTTGTTTGTTATTAGATTGCCATTTTATATTCTTTATAATGGAAAAAAACAACAACGGAACACACACACACACACAATACAATCAAGAACAACGTTTTTTTGTGAAATAATTTTTTTTGTTCCACTTGTTTAAAAAAAGAATTTGATTAGTTGTGATATGTCTGTGTGTGTGTGTGTATTGCTTTTTGTACAATGTAAAATGTTTTTTTTTGTGTGTCTGTGTCTTTGTTGACATAAAAACACACACACACATTGTTTTTAAGTATACAAACAAACAAAAAACCGAATGAACGAAAATATTCTTCGGATTCATAATGATATGAATGATTATGATGATGATAGGGTGCTTCTGCATATGTTTTTTGTTTATAACACACAACAGCAACGAAAATTTCAATATTCAGTAGAGAAAATCCAAAACAGTTTTTGCTGTAATGAAAATTGATTTGTTTTTATTATGGTGTTTTTTCTCAGAAAACAAAAATTTTTGATTGTTAACTTGTTGATTTTACTCAAAAACTCTTTATATCGATAATTCGATATCGTAGTTTTTTTTGATTGATTGACAAATATACACTTGACAATCAATCAAATAATTATTTTGAGTTTTGTAAGATTTTTTGTTTTTGTTTTTTGTTTTGGATTTTGATTGGATTTTATTGGTAACATAGATGCATCTAGGCAGCGTATTTTATTTTATTATTTTTTGAATCATAATTTATACATAAAAACACGTAGTGTTTTTCTTTAATGAATATGCCATATGTAAATGAATTTTTTATACTAATTTATGATTGGCAATGACCAGATTATTGCATGTCAATGATTGTCATGGGTCAACAACAACTGGATTTTTTTCGTATTCGGTATGGGTGAAAGATGCCAGTTGTCAATGAAATTGTTTCAAGAGAAGATCTTATGCATATTTTGATTGATTGGAAGTTTCTCTTCTTTTTTATTTAATTTTTTTTTCATATTCATTCTACATACGGTCATTTTATACATAAGCCTTGTGTAAGGCGATCAGTGTCAAGTTAAATCATTTTGTTTCGTTTTGCTACAATGGTCATAAAGTTTCAAAGTAATGAATTTTTTTTTCACTTAAAACATAAAGTTTTGTAGGCTAAATCTGTAAACATTTGGCCAACAAAACAGAAGAGAGAACATATGATAAAGTAATCAACCGTAAAACACCATCGTGTCAGCATAGTGGCAATCATAAAACTACCACCGCACCAAGACACCAATCAATTGACCATTGGTCGCTTTTTTGGTCTTTTGGGTGACCGAAATTATAAAATATTCAATTCATTTGACTTTAGGACTTTGAAACAAAATAAACTTTTATGATAAATTTCATTTCGCCTTGATAATAACTGAAAAAAATTTGAATTTCTTTTTTTTTCTCCAATAGGCGCAATAATCATAGACATCATTGAAAATGTTGTGATTTGTAATCGACCAATATCATCCATAGAACCTGTCTTATCAAACAAAGTATTCAATTTCATCAATTTGATCAATAATAAGCATCGAACAAAGTTATTTTCATATATCAAATTTCAACCAGCAAAAAAATATATAAATTATTATTTGGTGTATCATTCGATGCCAAACAATTTTCCAGCACATCAATTGAACTCGATATATTAATTATAATTAAAACGGGTCGAATACAGACAGAGACAACAACGATACACATGGTCACGCGATTATCATCATCGATAATTTAATATGATTCTCATTTATCATCAGTATCCGTATCCCGTACTCAACTATATAATTTGATTAATCACATCATCATATATCTTCATTCTTGATATTCCAAACGAGGCTATTTTCTTCATTTTTGTGATTTTTTTCCTGTGTAAACAGCAACAATGTGCAATTGTTATTTGTGCAGCTTATAATCGGCACCTTTATTGTTTGGATGTTTGTGTGCATATGGTGCCTGTGTTGTTTTCCTCTTTGACATGATTGTTTTAGCCAAAACATGGCATCATTTTTTAAATGTCAATCAAATGACCTACGGCTATCGATCGGTCGGGTCAATGAATTGTCTTTAACATCTTCATTATCAACAACAACTGCTGACAACAACAACAACAATGTGCTTTATTGTCATAATCATCGAAATGATTTTATAGATGTTCATCATCATCATCATCAATCTTGGCTACCAAAGTCAACAAACATTGAAAATAACAACAATGATGTTGTTGATGACACCTCACTATTGCCTAACATATCAATGGCTCAAAATGATGATCTGGTCGATAATGGCAAAAGTCATTTAAAACCAACGTTATTATTTGTTCCAAAATACTACTACTTTCATTATTTGTCAAAATTGACAAAACAAATAGCTGCTATACATTCATTTTGGAAACAATTTATTATCAGCTGCCCTACTATTTCATTGATATATTTATTAGTGATTATATTGGCAAATAATATTGGCCATATTGAATGTTTCGAATCTTTCAATGATCTTGGTATGTAAAACCAAAAATAAAACAAAACCAAAAATATAGAATACATTAAAACTTTACACACAAACACCTATTAGAATTGAATACACCACTATTTTCATTGTTTAGTTATATCTCTTGTGTGGTTTTAGTTGATCGATCCAAATTCATATAATAAATCGGTCATGAATGTAGTTTTAGTTAAAATAGAATATTGTTCCTGTAACTAATTGCTTGAACATCTGCTTCTGCTTTAATTCCTGTTTCGTTATGTGTTTGTGCTTAAAAACTAACTAAAAACCAACTAAAACTACTATGCCTATGAAATATAATCATCATCATCAATTTAAATAATTAGCATCCGTTTTGGAATTTTTTTTCTCATTTTCTCTTTGTATTTTTCCCCAAAATTCTAATACTTGCCAATTTGAATAACGAATTCAAATACGTAGATCCATGTGAATGTTGCCATCTTGCAACTCAAAAAAAAAAAATTCAAAATTCAAATAGAAAAAATCTTATTCACCAGGGTTTTTTTTCATTATTATTATTGCCATTCTGCCAAATTGGCTTCCATATAATTGATTTGGCACGTTTACTTTTCTTTCTTTTTATTCTTTCTGTTTGATGGTTGATTTAACGATGAATATATATTTGATGCAATTGGCAAGGATGGAAATCACTCTTTTGTTGTTTGGGTTAAATTGAAGTCATTTTTCAATTGAAACACCCTTCGAAAAAAAATAATATGCATAGATTTGATTCTATATTCTTTTTGAATCGTCGTTCACAAGGATTCTTGGTTAAATTCATATAATATGGATCCTTTAGTATTTGGTCAATGCTAATGTAAATATTTGGTTTTTCGCTATTGCTATGTTATTGCTATTGACTGGACTATGGCAAGAATAGATTCTGGCTATCTATCCATATACTCAATAAACTTAAAATGTAAACAAAATAACATCACCATCATTGCATTGATCGTTGATGTTTTCTTTTTGTATTTATCTTTCTTTCATATGTTCTGGTCTAGGCCATCTTTTTTTTCGTAGTATAGTCGTTGTTGTTGAGAGATCAAACAAAATCTCAATTTGACAGACCAACAAAATAAAATAAAATTTACCAGAGTTTATAAGCATCCTAAAGCATCCCAAAAACATCATAAGAAGACGGTAACTGATCAATGATCACCGGCTTGGCTGTCACATTCTTTTTTCTTTTTCTTTTTTGTTGTATATATCAATTTGAAGTGATTCGCATTCGCTTGGTTTTTCATTCTCATTCATTCATTCACATTCTATGTTTCCATTTGAAATAACAAAAAATTGTCAACTTGAAAAAAAGCTCGACAGATTTTGGCCTAGCTTTGATGATGACAGAATAGTAAAAATTTTTTTTTGAAAAAAATGTAGTAGATTTTCAAACGTATGCAAATATACGACAACGACGACAACAAATACAGCTCACTGAACTTGACACTTATCGGACATATACTTATTCTATTGCCAAAACAAAAAAACTCCTCTCGATTTCAATGATGATGATCAAAAAAAGCACATCAGTGGAGATAATGTCAATGCGGATGCCAAACGTTGTTGTATCAAGTTACAATTGGCCAAAATAGACAGAAAAACGAAAAATTTCTAATTATTAATTCGAGTTGGGCAATATTTTTTTTTAATTACAGTCATTGTTGTTGATGAATTATGATCCTATGCTATTTAAACCAACCAGGGTAGATAGATGCAATTGTTCATAAAGACAATGGCATCAAAGATTCCAAAATTCAGATATTCACCACCACCAAAAAACATACATTGTGTAACCCTACCATGATAATGATAATGATGATCTCATGATTGTTTGATGATTGATCATCATCATCATTGGATCCACTATTTTAATAATTCTGGGTTAATTGTTTGGCAATGAATCGTGAACGAAAGTTTTTTTATTCTCGATTCTATTCTCTCTGTGTGTTTTGTCTGTTTCATTGTTGTTCCATAAGCTTATTCAACAAAAAATCGTTTGGAACTTATGCGTGTTGTCAAAACAAAATAAATTGTTTAAACATTGGGTGAAGAGAATAGCAAAGAAAAATTTAATTTTCTGGCTCCATTCTTATTTTGGGGAATGGATTTTCTTTCATTTTTCCTTTTTCAAATATCAATTTAAAAAACAAAACAAAACGAAAAAAACTTTTATCGATCCTGCGTGTGTCGAAGTTGACAAAAATAAAAATGAAAAAAACCTTACATCGATTCTCTATTACTCGATTAAAAATTGTTCATTTTGACTTTTTTTTGTCGAAAATTGTTTTTTTTCGAAATCGTCATGTAATCGGAATGGGATACATTTTAGTTTATAAGAAATGGGAAACACTATCAGTTTGTTTGTTTCTGTGTGTATATTTCACTGTTTAAAATGATTCCCTCAAAAAAAGAAACAGAAACGAATCTAGCCATTTATTCTGTGTAAGATTCTGTTGTTCATATCGTTTTTACAAACATAAAAAAACGGTGCGATAATGGCTTTTAGATATATACAATTAAAACACCGTTAACATTAACATCATCATCATCATTATCGTTTGACATTATATGGCTCCCTATCTATCTATCTAGCATATCCGGTAGTGCAGTAATACAGCAATAACAATAACCATCAAATGCCTCTGCCTTTTGCATCATTGCCTTTATTATTGCTTCGGGCTTTTGAGCTTGCAATGATTGAATGCAATAAATCCAAAGATAGTGATGCATTCATTCATTCATTCTTTTTTTCTTTTATTATTCCTGCTGATTTGAATCGATTTTTTTTCCTTTGCTTTTTCTTCATTCATTGGATCCATTATATCGTCGAGCTACATAGTCAAATTTTTCATTCACAGTTTTTTGTTTGTTTGTTTGTTCGACAATATGCCAGTATAATAATGTACCTATATGGAAAAAAATATGGCTCCCGGCTGCTAATTATAACTGGTATGGATATTGTGACTATGACTCTATTTGGTTGTAAATGGATGCTAATTTAATTTAAATATTCTCGAAAATTTGATGAAACAGATGCACAACTCACTAATAGTTAATGTGATAAAACACAATAGATTTGATGTTACAATGAAAAAATATCCAGCCATCCAGCTAGCAATTCATTGTAATTTTAACCTATCATTGGCTTTAAGCGTTATCATTGTATTATTCGTTATAATTGATTATCACCCTAACTTGCCAACAGCATCGCAAAAATATTCACACTTGGATTAATATTAATTGGATTGTCTCAAATTTACACTGTTTTTAATATATTGTATTGTTTTCTCTATTTTTATTGTTTTGTTGATTTATTAGAACAAACATATACATCCATATGTGAACCAAATGGAATCAATGCACTTGGTATGGAATCTGGTGTTATACCAGATTCAGCATTAAGTGCATCATCTAGCTATAATGAACAAAGTGTTGGACCACAAAATGCCAGGTTCGTATATTTTTAATTTGTCTTTGTTTGTTTGTTTGTGTTTGACTTGATTAAAACCAACCAAATGATTATTTCCATTTCTTTTTATATTAGACTAAATCGTGAATTACATGGTGGTGCATGGTGTCCATCAAGTCAAATTAATCAAACAAATTCCGGTCACGAATGGATTCAAATCAATTTAACTGAACCATTTGTTATAACTAAAATAGCAACACAAGGAAGATTCGGTAACGGTATGGGTGTTGAATTTGCTGAAGTATTTTGGCTCAATTATACTCGTGATGGTATCAAATGGACACGTTGGAGTAATTCATATGGTGAATTTGTAAGTAAACACAAAAAATATATTATCTGTTGCCCGGTTACATACGCCGAAACACTCATCCAAAATATTTGATTGACATAATCGTTCATCGTCTATATCAAGAATTTTAAACCGTTGATCTGCAAGAATATATTGCATGATGGTCAAACCAAACAACGGTTGCCGTAAATTGTAACACTTGACATGGACATTATGTGATTCTCTCCGTTTTGCCATTGTTGTGTTCCTGGTGGTTATCAAATAAGTTGAAAATTATTTTTTTGTTTTTGTTTTATCCAAATCAATATCACCGTGACTGTACGGAAACTTTTTCTTTTTTGTTGGTTGTATAGTTGTAAAATTATCATGTTAAACACGTATTCTGTCAAGTGCCCATAAGTAATGTGTACCCATTTTTTTTTGTTGTATAATTGTAATGTATTTTTTTTGGGAGGACAAAGATGACAATCAACCAAGATGATTATGGCGATATTTTTTTTTCGTTTTGGCTGCCATATGCAACTCAATGGACCATTAGACATGGCTGCTGTCATTATCATTATCATTATTTTTTTTTTCTTCTTCTTGAATATTTTGTTCTTTTGGTATATACACGGCCATCATTTTCATCATCATCATGATGTCATCGTCAAACAAGCATAAAATTCATTTTACAGCCAAGCTAAATTGATTTTTAACCGCTTTAAACAAAACGATTCAAATGATGTTTCTTTCTGCTTCATCACCATGAAAAAAGGAGCATTCTTCCCGGTCCCAAATGTACCCATTATCCATATATTCAGGAATGATGCATGAAAGGAAAAGAATCATCTAGGTTGAACATTTGCATTTAACTTGTCTGAAAAAACACATTCCTGCCTTTAAACAAATTTTCTATGCTAAATGGAATAGGATCAATCAAGCTAGCTAGCTTACTAATTGGCTGCTGCTGTCAAGCTGTAAATCGTTCCATTGAGAGAATGAAAGCACCGAATACCTATGGCGCCATTTGTTTTTTTTGTTTTTTGTTGTGTGAATGTGAATATTTGCATATTACCATCACCACTTAGACTAAATTAGACACTTCAAGATTTTCTTGTTTTTTGTTTTGCATTCTGAATATGCATATTTCTTGCTGCTTCCTAATTGAATTAAATTTACCAAACGGTACGAATCTTTTGATAATTTCGTCGTCGTTTTTTTCTTTCTAAAAATACAACCAAATAAATGTCCCAAGTGCATTTTCTTCTTCGTCATGTGTACCCAGAAATGATTTGCTAAAACCTACAGCAGTTTTTCCCCTTACTTATAATAAACATTTACATTAATCGATCTTATTCTCGATCCTTTTTTGGATTCAATTTCATCATTGATCTTCAATTCATAGTCACAAGGATGCTAAAATCTGTCAAAGGAATGAAATGTATTCCAATGACAACCAAGAAAATATATACAGGCAAAAACAGCAAAAATCAATATGCATGGAAATGCGGTCTGTCGCCAAGTGTTATGTTTGGTGTGTGGTATGTTATCGAGAAAAACACAAGGGGCTTAGAATTCATCTGGAACATCTGTTGTATCGCGTGTGTTTTATCCCGAAATTTTTATATATTTTTTTTCCATAATAATAAATATATTGGGATAATGTACGTTCGTTTGAAAGAAAAACCTATATTCAAATTGAGATCCATCATCATAGCCAAAAAACGAATTATTGGATAGCTTCCACCAAGTGAATATTTAGAGTAGGTACATTCTGGGAAAAAAACGACGACGACGATGATGATCGATGTGGTTCTCATTTTTTTTTGTTTCAGCCAGAAAAAAAAACATAAAGAGAAAAAACAGCCATTCCATCAAAAGAATTTCATTTCATGCGAATATACACTTACCTTCACAATAATATTAACGATATATTCTCTCTCTCTCTCTCTCGATTGCCAAATTGGATTCGAGTTCATTGTTTTTTCATTGTATGTTCGATTGTGAACCAAATAAACAAACAAACAGGGAAATATATCTTATTTCTCTAATATACTTTTGGAAAAAAAATCGAAATCCACTAACTACTTTGGAATTCAATTCCTATGTCTACATGTGTCTACAAGCCATCCATTTTATCGCAGTTTATTTTTTTATTTCAGTTTTGTTTTTTGTTTTTGACACGGACAATATACCCAGACTTGATTAAGTTGACTACCGGATTCATCGATTGTCGATTGTCGATTGTCGATCGTTGTCCTGACTCGAATTTGATCGTTTCGGGATTGACTTTTTTTCTTGTTGTTGTTGTTGTTTTCTGATCAAATCAATTTGATCTTTTCATATTAAATTGTTGTTGTTGTTTGAACATTTTCATGTTGGAATGTTGAGATTAGAGCGCCAAGTCATCCATATAAATATAAACACATTGCATCATAACTGGCTCGGCAATACGCCACCGACAAAACACAAAAAAAATATTGTCGATTAAATGCTGGCCCGATGCTTGAGCAACAAAAGAAAAATCCATTTGCCATCATCAATATGTGTGTTTGTTTTCGAATAATGATTTGAAATTGTAGCCTAAACTTGAAAGAACGGGGGACCAATGATTTATGGTAGAAACATTCCAACAACAACAGCAAAACGAAAAAAAATTTCATTTTAGAAAAGTTGTTTTTTTTTGTTTAAAATGAAAAAATTCTTATCTATAAAATTGCAGGATATCCAAGGAAATATGGACACGTATTCGATTGTTGAAAATATTTTATCCATTCCATTGGTCGCTATAACTGCCATACGTTTATTACCCGTTTCATCATATACACGAACTTGTTGTTTAAGATTTGAAATCTATGGTTGTCCTTATCAAGGTAACTTTTTTGTTTTTTTATTCAAAAATGTTTTCAATTTAAATTTTACTTTTTTTTACTGTTCATCTTTCATAGAAGGTCCAATTTCTTATTCAATGATGGATGGACAATTGAATGGACGTTTTGGTGATCTTATTGATCATACATATGATGGATATCGTTCGGAAACTGGATTTTTAAGCGATGGACTTGGTCAATTAGTCGATGGTATACGTGGTGATGATAATTATAAAGTAAATAAAGGATTCGAATGGATTGGTTGGAAAGCAAATACACAAAGTGTTGTATCGATTACTTTTCGTTTTGCTGACATTCGCAATTTTACTTCGGCAATTTTTCATTGTCATAATATGTTCACTAAAGATATACAAGTATTTCATTCGGCACAAATCTGGTTCAGTTTGGATGGTAGGCAATGGGCACCGATTCCAGAAGATTTTGCCTATATGCCCGATATGGTTGTAGAGAAAGCACGCGATGTAATCATTCATCTTCATCATCGTATTGGTCGTTTCATTAAATTCGATTTTAGATTCGCTGCAAAATGGTTGTTGATTAGTGAGGTATATTTAGCCAATCCATGTGCGATACAATTTTTCTGATTATATTTTTTTTTCTATTCGAAATAGGCCATCTTCTATTCCAATCCTATCAATCGAGGATTATCAATCAATGAATTGGATTTTGTTGACAGTCGACCAATCGCTACAACTGCTATACAAACATCATCGACTAGTACTACACATAGAAATATATCATTATATAAGGATTCATTTTTTTTCATCGGTTCTGCAATAATAGTCGCCTTATTGATAGCAATATTCATCATTGTTTTGATATGGTTGGCACGCAAACGAAAAGAAAAGATAACTGGTTCGTATACACGCAATCATCCAAAAAAAATGGTTGTTCATCTCATTTTTTTTTTGTTTTTGTTTTTGATTACCTATTTTCGTGCAGGTTCTGAATATACGACCGTTCCAATGAAAGATGTTCCATCATCGGCAATCTACTGTGAACCACATCGTTTTCATCATCCAGGTTTTCCTAATAATAATAGTCCAGATCCAGAATATGCTGTACCCGATTTAATCGGCAATGGACCATCAACATTTATGACTGGAAAATTGACTAATAATTCATTACTACTTATGAATCGTCAACCACAGCCATTAATTTCATCGTTTACTAGAACAATGATCAACCAAGATGATGGAAAAGCTAGATATTATGCATCGACCGATGTACTATCACGTAATGGTATTGATCATGCTCCCAAAATTACTCATAATACATTGGCCGGTAATCTTAATGTAAATAGTCAACTATTACCAGTTGCTCCAATGTCTGGATGTGTTGCAAGTCAAATTTATCCAAAAAATGGATCAGCTCCATCATCATTATCATCAAATACATCAAAAGTATTGAAACTCAATTCATCAACACCATCTACTTCGTTGGAAAGTTATGAAAATACTCCATATAATAATAACCGTAATGGATCTCCAACAAATCATTCGGTTCCTTTGATAAAGGATAAAGAAGTGAGCATTATTGATGGTCATTTTGGTTATTCTAAATACGGTGATTGTGAACTTGGCTATTTTTGTCGAAAAAATGACAAACAACTAGTCATGTTGAAAACATTATCATCACGTAGTTTTGATTTGCAACAAGAATTTACACAAGAAATGAATGCAAAATTTCGCTTATCAGATCAATGTCAAAATACTTTTGCTCGATTATATGGTTATATTTCTAAATATGATTATCTAGCCATGGTTATTGAATATGGTGATTCAGATCTCAAAAAATTTCTTCGTAATTGTTCTCCATCGCTCATACGGTTAGTTTATTTAAAACTTTTTTAAAATCAAATTATAACGATTTGTCTTTATTAGAATTGGACAATTAGTTGAAATTGCTCGACAAATAGCCGAAGCGATGCAAGATTTACATGATCATGGTTTTGTTCATAAAGATCTTGCTGCACGAAACTGTCTAATATATCATAAAAATCTTCAAATAAAAATCACTGATACAGGTGCCTCGAACAAAGATTATCAAACAGAATATTTTCAACAAATTTTTCCACTTCGATGGATGAGTTTCGAAACAATCATTCAAAGTACTTTTACTAATAAAAGTGATGTTTTCAGTTTTGGTGTAACACTTTGGGAGATAATGAAATATTGTCAATCATTGCCTCATCAATTGCTCAGTGATGAAGAACTATTGTCCGAGATTGTTAACGATCATCATGTTGACAAGGTATGTTTCTTTTATATTTGATTTGCTATTAACTAACCACTTTTGCCATTGTTGAACAGATATGTGATTCTTCATCAGCTTTTTACAATCATCCATTTGACGATTCTAATGATTCAAAATGTTTACTTCAATTAACCAAACCAAAAGATTGTCCTGATGATATATATGATTTAATTGTTGAATGTACACAACATACAGCCGATTCTCGACCCGAATTCGCCGAAATAGTTCATTTTTTACAGGCAAAAAGTTTATCTTTACGAAAACTTTGAACATATTTGTTTCCAATCATCATCATCATCATCATCATCATTATGATCTGAATTTATTTAAATTTCTCAAAACCACACGACATGAATTGTGATAATTTTTTTTCTTATTTGTTGAATGTATTTTTTCTTTTTCTTTTTTGTTACAATTTTAATTAATTTTCTTCTTCATTTGTTTCGGTTGAATTTGATGGCAACTTTATGTAAAATTTGTAATAATAAGCATAATGCACAAACACCTGTAAATAATTTTTTTTTTAATTGGCTGGGCCATTTTATTTTTGTATATATTATTTTATCTCAAAAAACACAAACAAAACAAAATCAATAAATTATTTACAACATATCATTGATTGTTTGTTTGTTTGTTTCATGGATAAGTGAAATTTTTTTTTTGTTTTGTTTTTCGCACCATTTTTTCTGTCTCTTCGAATGTCATTTCATTTTGTCCATTTTGGTTTTGTTTATTCGGTGATGATTAATATTATTCGATAATAATGAGTTGTTGTTGTTGTTGTTTTAGGTAGTAACCTCGTTACAATGATATATACAGATATTTTCTCTATACACATTATTATGAACATGTTTGTTGTTGATAAGACCTTGTCCTTGACCTTATTGATTGAAATAAGTAATCTGTATATCTGTATCTATGTTGGTTGAATACGGAAATGTTTGGCTAGTTTTTCATTTTAAATTGAAATGTCACTTTAGTCCAGCTTGAACCTCTTTTTTTTTTATCTCGTACGGTTGGTCCGGTTTTTTTTCTATTCAATCCGTCTATCTGAATTAGAGTGGTTCAATCAGCCTGTTTTTTTTCTTTCTTCATTTATGGATATCATATCATAATAATCTTTATCTCAACAGTATTACAATTTCAAATGACCACCAATGTTCAGTTATCATTATTTGTCTTTGCTCATATGTGATTTTAACTTCTACCCTGATTTGAGACGGCACCTGACAACCTCGTGTTGGTTACTGTTACTAATTGATTAGTCATGATTTGTTCACCATCCTTGATGATAATGGTCATAATTTTCTTATGTAAATAAACTATTATTGGATCTTTATTAATTTATGATTCAATATTTAAACACTACTTGAACCATACATCATTCAATATCGTAATGACGAATGATCTCATCCATTCATCGTTTGAATTTTTCACCAATCATTTATCTGGTTCAATAATGATTCGATTCAACAATATTATTGTTATTCTGGTCATCATTCATATTCTTACCATTTCAATATCCAATGAATCAGGTCATGTAAATTGTCGTATTGAAGAAAATTCTTTTAAAAGTTTTCAAGAAAATGGAATCATTAAAACTGTTATCACTGTTGACAAGATGGCGCCATCAGCTAAAATGAATGATCATTATGAAACAGAAAATTGGATTGATAATCAATTGGGCCCTAATGATCCATCATTATCACCATCATCGTCATCATCATCATCGAATTCTGACAAGAATGGTTCGAGTACTAGTACAATGGTAATCGGATTGCTGAAGAAAGCATTTCGTTTATTGAATCTAAAGCAAATGGTTCAAAATTTTCAACAAGGACGATCATCATCCGGTGCATGTTTGGGCTGTAAAATAACAATGACTGGTGTTAAATATTTAATCGATTATGGTAGAGGTTTTGAAGATGTTGCCTATGTTACTAAATATTTATGTAAAACGCTTGCTTTACAAACGGATCGTGTTTGTGATGGATACGTGGATAACTTCATTGTTGGTATTGTTACCTATAATCATTTGTTATCATTCTAAACCGATGCATATCTTATTTTTTTTTTAAATTTCTTTGAAGGAGGAATTCGTTGTTGTCATGTCCAAAGTGAATATCAGCTCGAATGAAATATGTGGCTTTTTGTTAGGTGAAACATGCAATCAAGTTGTTCATCCGCTTTACAAATGGAATATTCGTTTACCTGATCGACCTTTGTTTACTAAACCATTATTTCGTTGGCCATTCCGTGCACAACAATCGTTCAAAGTGCTGCAAATATCCGATCTTCATATTGATCTTGATTATCAGGAAAATTCTAATGCAGTCTGTAATGAACCTTTATGTTGTCGAGCTGATTCACCACCATCAACATCATCAACACCAAAAGTTAAAACATCACATCGTGCAGGTTATTGGGGTGATTATAGAGATTGTGATGTACCATTAAGATTGGTTGAACAAACATTTCAATGGATTCGACAAAATCATCCGGATATTGAATATATTTTATGGACTGGTGATATACCACCGCATGATATTTGGAATCAAACAAAACAAAGTCAGCTTAATTATATTGATATAGCTGGTCATTTGTTTGATAAATATTTTAGTCATGTTCCAATTTATCCAGTAGTCGGTAATCATGAAAGTTTACCCATGAACAGGTAGGTATTTCAGATCAATCCTTTTGGATCATTATTGATTTTCGTTCACTTATTACAGCTTTCCACTATATTCACATCCGGCAATCAAACAAAAATATTCCAAACAATGGTTATATGATCGATTATCATCAATATGGTTACGTTGGTTGCCATCCGATACACGTTCAACAATCGAAAGGGGAGCTTATTTTGCAACAAGAGCTAAGAAAGGATTAAAAATCATATCGTTGAATACAAATTTTTGTAATACACAAAATTGGTGGGTTTTGTTGAATGCAACTGATCCTGGTCAACAATTAGAATGGCTTATACAGCAACTAACTGAATCGGAAAGATTAGGTGAAATGGTATGTTTACCTGATCGCAATATTGATAATGTTTACCAAATGTTTTGGTTTTGTTTTTTTTATGGTTCACATAGGTTCAGATTATTGGACATGTACCACCAGGTTCAAATGATTGCGCTCAGATATGGAGTATGAATTATAATCAAATTGTTAATCGATTTGCTTCGATTATTAAAGGACAATTTTTTGGCCATACTCATAATGATGAATTTGAAATATTTTATCGAGAAGTACGACCAGAATTGGATTCAGATCATGAAACAACATATATGCCCACTAATGTTGCTTACATTGGACCTAGTGTAACTACATTTGGAAATGTTAATCCTGGCTATCGAATCTATGTCGTCGATCAACAAACATTCGATATTATTGATCATGAAACATATTTTCTTAATTTAACTGAAGCTAATCTAGCTAGAGATCGAATGCCATTACAATATCGACTTGCATATCGTGCTAGTCAAGCTTATGAAATGAATACATTATCACCGACTGAATGGCATCGATTAGTAATGAGAATGCGAACACCAATCAATCGCAAAGAAAGATCCGCTCGTAGAATGCAAGAATCGAATCGATTATTTAAATATTTTAATCATTATTTCTACAATCTTAGCGATAATATTGGCGATAATAATAAATGTGATGATGAAAATTGCAAATATGAAATGTTATGTCGACTACTCACTGCTCATTCTTATAACACAACAATGTGTCAACATTTTTTATTATAATCAAATCAAATCAAATCAAATCAAATCAGATCTCTTAAATTAATATTTCCATACTTTTATTGTTGTAAATATTTTTTTTATTCTCAATTTTTAAAATATAAAAGAAGTCTTAAAAAGGGCTAATTAAAAGAATTTAAGTTGTTGACAAAAGAAAAGAAACTATGAATCGAGATAGTAAACATCATCAATACAGCATTAAATTGTTGGACAATATGGACATTGTATTCAGACAAATGGTTTCAAATCACAAAGGTTTGAATTATTATTTCGTCAGTGTCATCATTATGTGAATTTTTATTCCATTCTTAGATTTATTGAGCGCAACTAATATGTTATTGGATTCATATGAAACACTTTTGTCAGTAGATGATCATTCATTATGCAATTCCATCGATGACGAACAACCATTTTTACTAAAATTAATCGATAATCTTCATAAAGAATTGAAAACTTTTCAACCAAAAACAATTGATAACCGTGATTGTTTGAAAACGATTCATGAAAAGATTTCAAATTTAGCATCCGAAATTGATATTATTCTTAGAGATGGTGATCAAATAGATAATTTATGTGATGATGATGATGATGATGAATTACAAGAAGAACACATTGAACAAGAAGAAAATGGTGACAATTTGATTAGAAATGAACCATCTAAACCTGATGAGCAATTGTCACCCGATACGATTCCTATTGAATCAAATTTGGTGATCAATTCTGTTTCACCATCACCTACTTCACCATTGAAAACATTAGATGATTATCAACAAGAATCTTCATCATCATCATCATCATCAGCAGCCGATATAAACTTGAATATAATGACAAAATTACATCGATTTGAATTATATCAGAATAGGTTACAATTTTCAAAATGTAATCTTTGTAATAATGGAATATTACCATTGAAAACATATTATAAATGTACTGAATGTGATTATATACTTGATCAAAATTGTTATCATAAAAAACGAATTATTTGGTCAATATTAGCATGTAAACCTATACCAAAACAAAAATTATCATTAAATTCAAATGTAATTGTTTTGATGAAAAAATGTTTTCAACAAATTGAACAACGTGGTAAAGAACATCGTCGTCTATATAATACAATGAATAATAATGATCAAGAAGCATGTAAATTATTGGACAAATATCTTGATTCATCAAACAACAACAACAACAACAATTCAACGATAGCTATAAGTAAACTTAACATGAATACAATATGTGCCATGGTCATAAATATTTTGAAACGTTTAGATGATTCAATCATACCAAGTCAACATTGGAATGATTTTGCAAAACTATCTGGTATGTGTTTCCCTTTATCAATGAAAAAAAATCATATTGACCCAACACACACACACTCCTCTCTGATTTCAGCAGGTAATCAATGGACAAATGAAGAAAAAATTAAATTTATTGAACAAATAATTATGAATGAAATGATTGCTATTCATAGATATGCTTTGGCAATACTAATGATACATCTTAAACAATTATTATCAAAAAATTATTGTTATTATTTGACTAAACAAATTTTAGCCGATTCACTTGGACAATATTTAATTCGTTGTCCTGAACAACAAACAATGACAATAATGAATGATAATAACAAACAAATACAAATCAAAATTCTCAATATTCAAAAAGATATTTTATTAATTTTATTCGATATAAATGTGGATTTTTGGAAACGTTTTTGTGATGATCGTTAATTATTTTGAAGAGAAAATTTATCTAATCTTCCATCATTATAAATAAATGAAAAATTTGTGATAACATATCACGCCCGGATGTTGATAATTATTGTTGTTGTTGTTTGGGTGATTGATCTTTATTGAACAAAAAACAAATGATAATTTCCATTAATCACATTATCATTGCTGTGAAGCTAATTATGTCATCGACAGACAAATTGATGCTTATGAATATTTCGCATAGCAAAGTGTATCAACATTGATTACGGTACGGTTCACTGAACGTACAATTGTCATCCGAAACAAAAAAATTGACTTAAAAAACAAAAACAAAACAGGATCGATATTTAATTGCAACAAGCTATCTATCGAAAGCAGTAGCTAAATAACGCACCAGAACATAGGGAAGCGATTAGTTTTTTGTTTGATTCTCTTCCCCTTCGATATAATGCCAACACACACATGGTTCCAATTTTTGTTCCCATGATTTGATGTCATATTGCGAACATATATGAAAAATTGTTTTTTTTCAATCTTCATTTGTGTTCCAATGTAAAAAAAATCCTAATATGGCGTCATTTAGAACAAAACTTACACACAGCATAGCATATAGAGACGCATAGCATTATTTATCTCTTTTCGGTCGCATATATATTGAGAACAGGGAGGCTGAATTTTGTTCAAAAAAATCCTCTCTATTGTAATGTTCTGAGGCCGTGTATTGACATTTAAAAGATAGTTGGTGTGTTTATGCAGAGACGACCGCGTATTTTCAAAATAAAAATTGAAAATTTCTGTGTGTTGAGCCAATTTGTTTGTCACATATTAAGGCCATGTGTATAAAAAGCAAAAGCCACATCCCAATTGATAAACATTTTTAAATTGAATCCTGGTCCTATCGGTACATACTGAAGAAAAAAAAATATTCCACTTTTTTTTTGTTGTTGTTGTGAATAGTGGGTTTTTTAGTTTGTTTTTTTTTTTTTGGTTTTCCAACCTGGCCATCATATCATATCATCATGGACTGTGATTATCTATATACACCACCATCACCAGAATTGATCGAAAGAATTGCCGTTCGTCGTCGTATGATTTCTACACAAGGTAAAAATGCACGTGGTGTATCACCGAATGTTGATCCAGAATTGCCACCACCATGGTTTGAAAAATCTTCGTTCGAACATGCACAAAAATTGTTCAAAACATATCGAGTGATGTGAGTGTCAAATATATTCAAAAATCAATCAACAAAATGATCAATGAGTGCCCATTGTCCTTCCCTCTCTTTTTACCTTTTTACCTACCTTGATCGAATCTGATTAGAATTCAAATCAGTCAATTGATTGGCTTAAATTTGGTATTAAATTTCACCCACGGTCTGGTACCGTTGTTGGTGACCGGTAATTCTAAAACCATATCAAAATTATTTGTTCGTTATCTATCGACAACAATACATGTAACCAATTGGTTTCAACATGATCCATTCGATAAGAAAAGTAAAGCATATCGATCACTTCGAATGGTTCGTGGAATGCATCAAAATGTTTCAAATAAAATGAATACCGAAGCTGGATTGATTGAAGATGGTCAAACTGTACTGTGGATACCACAATATGGAATGTGTCATGCTCAATTTTCATTCGTCGGAATGATGACCGTATTTCCTAAACAGGTATGTTTTAATTTACAAAAAAATTAATTGTATTTTTTTCATTTCTAACAATAAGTATATGGCCCATCCTCTATTACCAGTTTGGATTTCATAATTTTACCGAAAAAGATTTTCATGCTATGTTTCATTTTTGGCGTGTTATTGGTTATTGTCTTGGTACTGATGATCAATATAATCTATGTTCGGGTAATGATCAAGAAACATTTGAATTATGTCGTCAAATTTATTTTGATGAATGGTTACCGGTTATTCGTTCGGCCAGCGAAAAAACTGGTGTCGAAATGAGTAAAGGAATTTGTATTGCAATGTCACATGTTAATCCAAATCTTAATTATAATGCATTAATGCGTTATTGTTCACCATTTCTTGAATTGAATCCATTTGATTATCGATTAGAAACTCGTCGTGAAAGATGTCTTTATCGTGTTTATATTTTTTTATTTAATCGTGCATGTAAATCCAGAATGGTTAATCGTTTAATGGCACGTGCTGCTGATATTCGTTTAAAACGAGCAATTGCAAATCGAAAATTTCATGAAGAAAATCTTAAAACATGTTATCCTAATATAAGTTATGAAAATGATCGATGCCCGTTTGATGTTAATTTTAATTATACAACTGCTATTGAAACTTATCATGGCAATAAAAATAAATAAATAAATGTTCAATATGTAATTAAGATTTTTTTTTTGTTTCATTTCATGGACGGTTTTTTTTCTCACTTGTACAAGCGCGAAAGATGTGACAAAAACCCTGACCTCACAACAACAACAATAAAAAAATTATTTAGTGAATTGAGTTGACTTGTTTGTATGTAGCATGAATTAAGTTCAATGTTAAAAACTTTCTGATGATGTTTGTTGAATCGTTTTTGTCCGTGTGTTGGCTTAGGAAATTTATTTTATTTGAAGGAGAGATAGATCAGTGTAACCTCGATTTAGATGAGCCAAGTGAGCCATCCCAAATGTTGATGATGAACGATATAATCTCAATCTTTTCAAGCATAAAATGCATCTATGAAAAAAGGGCCATATCTAGTTCCTGAAACTTTGCTTTTGGTACAACAACAACAACAAAAAAAAAGAGGAAAAAATTGTCTCCAATTAAGTTGATCTCAATGATGGCCGATGGCCTTACATGTCCAACTTTTATTGATGACGATGATTGTCCTACTTTGGTAGGTGGGCATTTCCATATTTCAATAAGCAAAGTATACAATATATCGTGTCATTAATAAGATTTTATTTCGATGACTTAAGATCAAGTTCAAGGTGAACTCTATTCATAGATTTCTTCAAACATTTACAGTAAACATGTTTACCTCATTATTATTATTATTCGAATCAATGTTGTTGTTGTTTTGATTTTAAATTAGCCAAAGGTATCTTCGATGCCAATGCTTTAATTTCATTCATTAATGCTTGATCGTACCTAATGTTTGATGTTTGTTTATTGCGTTCATTTATTAATATCATTAATGTCAATAATATTTATTTTTTAAATTGATGTACTTACTCGTTTTGTAGAACTTCTATGTTGACATAAAGTTGTGCATAACATAAAAGACGATCTTTAGCTATATGATCATAATGAGCTAACATAAAATTTTTTCTCATTTGCCAATGATCTTCAATCTCCCAATCTTTACGATATTGGTCAATCTCTTGTTCATCTTTAAAGTATTGTTGTTGTTGTTGTTGTTGTTGTTGTTCATTCGATGACATTTGGTTTCCTTTTTTTTCAACTTGTTTTTCCTTGTTGTTCAAACGATTAAACGAAAATGCTTTCAGTCTAATTTTAATGATAACTGAGAAAAAAAAATTATCAACTAGAATTTGTTTCCTTGAATCGATTTCCATATACTCACTTGATTTTTCGTTATTCGAACAGTCTAATTTTTTTTGCAGAAATCGAATAATTTTACAAAAAAAAAAAAAAAAACATTCGAATTTTTTTTTTTGCAATAATTTTTTTTTGTTTTGTTTCATTCAAAAAAACACTATTGCCATTTTGTAATG